ACACTGTGCATGCAGTACATGAGAATCTGCCACGGGCAGTGTGCGAGGCTTGTTTTTATACACTTATCAGCTCCAAGCTCACAGACAGACTGGCGTCCTTGGACAGCTCTCTGCCAACTCAAACGCATGGTTCATGGGCAGACAACATTCTAAGCCATAGTAGTTAAAAACATCCATGGTCTTGACCAAAAATTCCCTAACAAGTACTTTGTACTCAAAACTAAGTACTTGTACTAGGTTTGCAATAAATGTAGAATTAGTTCATCCCTAGAAAACACTAAAGGTTTATAGAAGTAAAAATACGAATCCTAGCTTGGCTAGTTTTCAACGTTGGTTAATTATCTCGTAAGCAACCGGAGAACGGATCATCATCCCTGACATCGGAGGCCATGCTGGTCCAAGCTGCCCCCGTGGAGCTCCTCAGACCCACACGGAGGATTAAGGCCAGAGAGCCTCCCTCCCAAATGAATGGTGACATTCGGATGTGAGCGGCACTCCACGGAGGCGTGATGGGTGACCCAGATCAGGGTGAGGCGCAGACGGGGAGCGCTTGGATTAGGACCTGAGCGAGCTGAAACCTTTAACGGTGGAATGTTGTTGGAAAAACGATAAGGAAGTCTTCGTACCTTTGGCACGACGTCACATTGTCTGTCTGTAATAAAGCCTGCTGACTGCTTCAGTTGGAGACGTGGATGCAGAGATGTAACGGGGTCTGACTGCCCCCTCGGACTCCTATTGATTTTACTCTTCCATAACGAGGAAGTTGAGGTGGTTCACATGCTGAGCGGTTTGAAAGTTAAAGGTCACACACAACATAATAGTTACGCATAATTTGATAAGATCACGGCCAGAGAGGCTTCCTACGTCCAAGCTCAGAATATTTGGTTTTGCTCTTTGCTCCCGATCAATAAGCAGATTCACTTCAAAAAGTCCATTTTTGTCCTAAAATAGACGAGTGATCGATGGAAACGTGAGGAAAACAGAAGTTCCCAGAGCAGACAATGTTTCAGTTGTTCCTCAGGCTCGGCGTTATTTTCCAAAAGATGTTGCAGTTTAACCAGGAAGACGGCAGAAACGAGCTGAAAGGGAGCATCGAGAAAAGGGCGACGTCGGCTCCCGTTAGCAGCAGGATGACGAGGCCTGCCCGGAGAGCAGGGTTTGAAGAGTGGGACCCCAAACAGGGAGAACAAAATAAACAGTTTGACGTAAGTTCAGCGTTGAAAGTTAGAGAAGTTAAAAGAATAAGACAGGATGATATTCGGAATTTGAATTTTGTTGACAGGTTTGGCATTCTTGAAAATAGTAAAACATTTAGTTTAACGGATTGCTTGAAATCAAAAGGCCAAAACTGTAGCTGTAAGTGAAACGACTCATGACTTAAAAGTAACTTTTTCATTTAATTTGTTAAAATATCAACTCGGGTTACAAAGGTGTAGATTAGTCACAAAAAGCGAGGAAGTCTAAATTAATTATATTTAGACTTTTATGTCTATTTTATAGCATCAGGAGCATTTTCAATGTTGCTGAATGTCTTAATTATACAAAAATATGTAATAGTAAAACAAACAAGTATATTTTTTACTTTTCTTGTTTTGTAAATGCTTAATAAACATTCACACTGTTGAGATCCTATTTCTAAGAAAACAATATATCGAAACATTCAGCTCTTTAAGGAGAAGGGTGCTATGACTTTTGGTATTGGTGCAACTTTAGCTTTCATAAATATTTAGCCTTTTCTGCCATTTTTTTCCTCATAGAAAATGAATTGAGCTCATTTTACATCCTTCTTTAAATCTGTTTATAACCTTTTACTGCTCCTTTCACATTTTGTTCTGCTTCAGCTTCTTTCAGCTTGTGCAAATTTAAACTTTTTCAGCTACTTTCAGTTGTTCTTTCAGCTGTTTTGTGCTTCTTTCTGCTAACTACAACATTTTTGTGTTTCTTCTAACTTCTTTCTGCTCATTTCATCTTGTTATGCTCTTTTCAGCTTTTTCTGCTACTTTCAGCTTTTTCTGCTATTTCAGCTACCATTTAGCTGTTTTAAAGCTAATTTTAGCTTTTTCAGCTAATTCCACATTTATTGCACACATTTCAAAATTTTCCAACCTAGTTCAGCAAAAATGTGCTCTCTCCACTTCCTTCTGCTAATTTAAGCTACTTTCTGCCGTTTTAGCTACTTTTCAACTGTATTTGCTCATTTTAGTTTTTTTCAAGTAATTTCCACTTTTTTTGCTCATTTCTGCTTCTTTCAGCAAACATGTTCTTTCTGATTTCTTATGCTAATTTAAGCTTGTTCTACCTTTTCAGCTACTTTTTTAGCTCATTTTTGCTGTTTTCAGATAATTTAAAGTTTTTCATTTTAATTTCTGCTACTTACAGCATAATTAACTCATTTATGCTAATTATAGCTTGTTATGCTCCTTTCAGCTTTTTTCTGCTAGTTTCAGCTTTTTCTGCTATTGCAGCTACTATTTTGCTGTTTTATGCTAATTTCTAAGCTAATTCCTTTTTTTCTTTTAGCTCATTTCAGCTTTTTCCACGTCTTTCTGGTAGTTTAAGCTTCTTTCTGCCTTTTTGGCTACTGGTACTTTTCAGCAATTTTTGCTAATATCAGCCTTTTTAGCTAATCTCCTATTTTTTGGCTCATTTCTGCTTATTTAAACCTAATTCAGTAAAATGCGTTCTGTTTTCTTCTGCGAATTTAGGCTTGTTCTTCCATTTCAGCTACATTTCAGCATGTGTTTGAGCTAATTGCCGCTGTTTGTCAGCAAGTTCTTCTGCAACAAGCATTCACTGTATTTTCACAGGAAATGCAATTTCTCTAGTTTTATAATTTTGTTAATTAGCCTGTGTGCAGCTATTAGTTAGCAAAGTTAATGTTAGCTAAATGAATATTTAAGCTAGCTAAAAGTAACAAAACACAATTATACCAAAGTAATGTCCACAATACAGACAGTTTACAATTAGCTACAACTATCAGAAATAAAGCTATTATTACCTATAGAATTAAACTAATCACAGAATTAGCTAAACTTAAGCTGAGCTAAGCTTTGCGTTTTGAAGTTTTTAGCATGCTGCTAAAATTAATTTATTTGCCAAATTAAAAGCTTAAAAGAAGACTTAAAGCTATAAAATATAATTTGTATCATTTAGTTTTTGTAAACGTCCACTTTTGTAATGTCTAAAACATATTTTTTAAACTCTGCCATCTTCTTGCACACAAATCTTTAATCTCAAGATTTTGCTCAATTTGTTAGCACTCATATATGAGTTGAGGAACGACTCTCGGCTACTACCACACCAGATTTTTTTCTCAGTGTCTGTACAATTTACCGACTTGTAGCCATTTTTGTGCCATTTGGCTGTATCAGCCATCATGACTACGATTGACTCCAAAAGTTTGTTAGCTGAAAGTTTCATTTAAATTTGTCCAGTTGGATATTTTACTAACAGACAGTTAACTCTAAATACTTAATGCAATCCAGTGTTCAGAATATGTCAGCGATTAGTCTCAGCTACTACCACACCAAATGTTAGACCATTCTCTGTAAACTGGACTGAGATAAAACCATTTTGGTGTTTTTTAAGGTCAGTTAGCTGCGGTGGCCATCTTGAATCAGGTTGACTTAAAAAGTAAAACAGTTGTAGATGTACATCTGATATTTACTGCTTGAAGGTTTCATCCAAATCCGTCTAGTGGTTCATAAGATATTTTACTAACAGACAGACAAACATGGTAACACAGGCTAAATCAGCTATTACTTGCCTTTTGTGTTTTGGTAATATTGTAAAGTATTTAATCATTTTTAAAAAACTCATTGTTTTGTTGTTTATCTGTTTATCAACACGAGCTGAAGTCACAAAGTTGATCCAGTTAAGAGTCAGTTGAATAAAATACCAGCACAGCCATAAAATAATCTAATTTAGACGAGACTTATGACTCGTGTCCGGATGTTTTGTCATCAGAAGAAGAAAACAGCAGCTTTTTGCTGCGAGTGGCGAATGTTTGCGGCGTCCTTCTGTGTGTGAAGTGTGGCGCCATGTTGCCAAAACAGCAGCCGAAAGCATGTCAACGCAAGTTCAGAGCCAAGCCAGTCGGGCCGCCGGCGCACCAGTTGTCTTCCTTGGCAACAGGCTGATCTGCGACTGACTCGGTCTCAGACCTTCTCCTCCTGTGACCCTCACACTGCGCCACAGGTTGGCCTCGATCCCTGCAAGCCTGTGGTGCAGCGCCGCAGACTCACGCTGCAGGTTTCTCCAGCTGAGACCAATGAGCTTAGAATAATAGCAGCTGCAGCTGCTAATGAAGCTGTTTTAGCTAAGCCTCCAGGCTTTTGATGCCCCCCCCCCCCCCCCCCCCACCCCCCGGTCCACTTGCTGAGCTTGTTTAGGAATCAAAATGGTATTTTGCCTTAAATAACAAAACAGCTTTTATTAGTTTGGTTAGAATTTAATACTTATATTAATACTAATATATTAATATTACTCGTATTAATATATTATAATACTAATATTCAACTCAAGTTGAAAAGAATAACCCCACTGTTTGTCATGTCCTGTGCTCATTTGTGACGTTTTTTTTCCTTCCTGAATGGGGCATTACCTATTCAACTCATCTGCTGTTGCCACGGTAACCTCCCTGTTATCTCTGCTGAAGGGATTTTGAAGGGTGTGTTCAACATATTTTATGAGCTTCTTTCTGCAGATGATCTCATGTTACACAGCTCCGTATTGGTTTTTTTTTCCATTTCAGATTGCTTTTTGCCAACACAGCTGGTATTAGTAATGCTATAGGGTTAAGATTAGTAAATTATGACCAGTAGGATGCAGATACTTTCATGGTTTTTCCCTGGCAGTTCAGCACATGGATGCTGAGACAAAGAACTGAGCAGGCTGGGAGAAACAATGTGGCAACTAGCTCCCTCTGGTGGCTGATTTTGAAACACACAAGCGTCATGCTCTCTTTTTTTTCTCCCCCACCCCTCTACGTTTTGCATCAGACCCAGCAGGTGACCGGTTCCCTTCCCCGGATTCCCAGCATGGCAGACGGCAGGCAGCCAGACGAGCACAGGGCTTCCAACGGCCAGGAGAACGGCGAGAATGGCTACTCTGCCTACAGCTACAGGGAGAATGGGTACCATGGTGGGGCAGCTGCACACCCTGGATCGACAGGTAGGCACGTTCACTGGCATGAGCAGTAGCATTGATCCGGACACACACTACCAGATCAACGCAACAGCCGGGGTGATTTTATTGGCTCTGTGATGTCCGACAAGGCCAATCAATCCCCTCCAGGCACTCAAACAGGAGCCAGTGTGGACATTTGTAGCTGTGGTTTTTGAAAGCAGAAAACTCTGGTGTGGTTCTGCAGAGAGGAGCCAAAGGTCCAACGAAGTTAGAAACACATGACAGCCCAGTGTACCTGTGTACACGGTAAATACTAGGTTGGTAAATTGTAAGTACCAGGTAGGCCCAGGTGGCTATCTGGTAAGTGCCAAGTACATACCTGGTACCAGTTACATACCCACTAAATGCCATGCACGAGATAGTTACATGGTACTTACCCGGTATGTACCAGGTGCATACTCAATGAAGTACTAAGTCTGTACACTACTTTACCAAATACGTTCATGGTAAGTATGAGGTACCTACCTGATAAGTGCACTGTGAGTACCAGGAAAATGTCTAAGTACTAGATACACTGTGTCCCCTACCATTATACAAGTGGGGCGCCCCGCCCCATCAACAGAACCAAGTGCCCTGTCTACTACCCCCCCCCCCCCCCACCACACACACACACACACACACACCCCACCCCCCGACGACAACTATCTGTATTGATGTAGTATGGGGCGCAATACAAATGGGCTAGCAAAAATGCTACTGAAGTGCCGCTCCACTACCCCGCCCCCCACCCTCCGACAATTACCAGCATCAACATAAACACAGATGTGACCCCACCCCCCACCCTCAGTCGATATAAACTGGCAGCAATGTAGCGCTAAGCTAGCAGGCGGGTAACACAGAAGTGACTCCGCCCCCCTCCCCCCATCGGCAAAAGAAAAGAAAATATGACAAGCACACTGCCAAGGGAGCTGATCTAGGGGAAACACTGAGGTACATACACAGTGAGTACCTGGTATGTAAACAGTAAGTACCAGGTACCTACTGTGTACCTGGTACACAGTATGTATTAGAACTGTACCTGTTCAAGTACCAGGTACCTGTTAAGTTTTAAGTATTTACCTGTACTTACTTGGTAGTAACCTAGTACTTACCACGTAAACAGGTACATATCAGGTCTGTACCTGGTGAAGTACCAGATAAGTTCCTGATATGTTCAAGGCATGTACCCAGTAAAGTACCAGGTCTGTGCGTGGTACGCACCTGGCTGTGTTGAGTATTGTTACCTGAAGGTGTACGTGTCTCATGTCCTTCCTCCCATCCATGTCTCGTCTACCAAGTGTCTGTCTTTCTCTCTCTCCCTTCGCAGTGGATGACTCGGCCAATTTGCCTCCCTCCCCTCCTCCCTCTCCATCCGCTGAGCAGATTGGGCCCGTGGCACAAGGTACACACATACCAAAAAGAAAAAAGAAAACTTTCTCAAACTAGACGGCATGTGAAAGGTGGGGAAAGTGGCACCAATACAAATTATTACCGACTTCAGAGAGCGGTCTTCCTGGTCCTCTGGTAGTCCTGTTTTTTTCTTTCATAGTATCAGTTTATCACCTTGAAGAGCATGTGCCACGTTATTCAGTCCTTCTCACAGTTTTACTGTAGTATACTGATAAATGTATCAGTCAGCCTTTAGATATAAAGACTGTGAACCACTTTTCTTTTAAACAATAGTTCATAAGTTGCCACAGGAGCCCATTCACTCCATGTCTTGTCCTCTTGGCACATCCTTTGTTGATCCTTTGCTTTTTGTGTGGATTCATTTCCCCCCAAATCACCGAATTGACTTTCTACTCTTTCATCTTGCACGTAGCATGCAATCACAAAAGAATAAAATGGTTAGCTTTCTTGCAAACAGTCCGTTATACAGCACGTTTATTTTGAAAGCTCACTCGCTGCTAACTAACTAGCCTGACCTGATTAAGCTGGTGCCGATTCTCAGTCCTTCAGGACGTGGTTATTTCAGAAAACAAATGCATTGATTTAGTTTTTTAAGTTGCCTTAGATTTAGTTTGTTAGGATTATTGATGAATCACAACTTCGACTTCTTGAATTCCAGCCGGCAATATTTTCAGCCCTGCAGCGTCACTGAATTAGCTTAGCAACTAGCAGCAACCAAACTTTAAACAGATAAATACAACTTAATGTCCAATCTTTGAAAATATGATTTCATATGTATTTTGATCTAAACTTATATATTTACTTAATCAATCTCAAATGTTAAGTCAGTTTATTTTGTGGCAGAAAGTTTTTTCATAGGCCTGAATATTATATTTATTTGGGGCATTTATTGTTTTATTTTATTCATTTTTTCCATAACTAAATGACATACAACTCAATGGTTGTTAATCCACACTTAGGCCAAATTTAGATATAGGCTCAAATATATACACCAGGGATATTCAAGTGGCAGCACGGGAACCAAATTAGGCCCACAGGTAAGCTCGGTTTGGCCCACCAATGGGTTCATTTTTAAATAAAACTAGATTGTAAACAGTCAAACAAACTCACTTCATGACAGGAACTGCTGGATATCCGGCCCATGAGCTCTTGGCTTTCAGTAATTGTGGCCCCATGAGCAATTTAGTTGAATAGTCCTGATCTACACCCCAACTAATATTTGGTAAAATGTCCCTTAGCAGATCACATCTGGACCACAGGCTTGTCATATAAATCAAGCTTCTGACATAATTCTGACCTAGGCCTGCCGCAAGGAACAATAAATCAATTAATCACATAATAAATTAAAATTATCATCCTCATTTGCATTTATCAGCTTTATCGTTTCTTGGTGTCTCTCTCTTTCTACTGAAGACACTGGATGACAAAAGGCTCAACTCCGGTGCTCTTCACTGACCCCTCCCTTTTCTCGTTAAAATCTCTTTTAATGATCTAAAAATCACGTTTTTGGATCGTTAAAAGCAGCTAAGCTGAGAAGCTAAGCTATGAGCTAAGCTAACTGGCCGACCTCGGGGAAAAAAACCTCCGTCTTGTCGAAGCTCCAAAATTCACGGTTGAAACCCGTGCCTTTGTGTAAAAAAGTTGTTTTTCTCTGCAAAAAGAAGCGGAGAACTTGTTTACTGATTTTTTTATTAAAAGCTTTGTGTGAAAAATGCTATGCTAAAGAGCTCAAACCACACATTTTGAGAACTGAAATAAGGAAGGAGAGACAGCCCATGTCACATCAAGGGGCCTCCCTCCTATTTTTTTTTTAAGAGACACACTGCTCACTCCCTCACTGTTCATCCTTCAGTTCAGACAGTCTTATACTGCCATCCGGTGGTCAAAAAAAGGTACTACATGCAAAACAAATTAACCAACATTTCAAAATTTGACAATAATCACTAATTATTGTCAAATTTCAAACAATATTATCATTTATCGCAATAATTTCTGAGACGATTAATCGCCCAGCAAAATTAGTTATCGTGACAGGCCTATTCTGACTTAATATTTGACTACTCTTCTTATTGGCTGAATTGTAGAGTTAACTTAAACTGGTTGGTTTCCCGACACAGATCTTGGCTTTTAACTATATTCATTAAACTTTAGGTAAGGTTGAGGTCAGGACTTTGGGAAGGATGTTGTAGATGCTGTTAGCCTACCTGATCTAAAAAAACACTGCTGGTTTCTGTCTGGCATCATTGTTCTTTTAGAACACACAGATGTGTCCAAGTTTCAACCGGAAGTTGAAGGTAGTTCTTTTTTTTTTAAATTCCTTCCACCTTTACCATCAGTCAAAGAACAGTTCATATAAATAATGAGAAGCTAAAAATCAATAACGTAATTCCCAGGATGAGTGTATGCAACTCTGTTCATGTTTAGGCAAGGCTACTTTAAGAGACAGTTTGTTGATTGCATCCCATGCATCTCCATAAGTGCCATGTATACCTGTGTCGTCCACCTTTGTTCTCCATGTCTCATCCATGTGTCTCCCTTCCTGTCCCAAACAAGCTAAAGTAGAGGTTGTCAGTCAGCAGCAGCCTGAAGATGAGGCTCCAGAGGAGCTCAGCAGTTACCACGAGGAAGGAGGCTTGCACTTAGAACAGACAGATTGTTTAACAGAGCCCCAGGCTTTGGACAACCACAAAGTCCAGGCCGTCAATGGAGGAAGTCATCAAGGTGTGTGTGGTTCTGGATGTTGCAGTGGGAACATTTACACTTTTTCTTATGAGAGTATGTGTGAGCGTTTGTCTGCTACCGATTGTGCATGCACCACCTCTTGCTCTCTGTAACAGGTACAAAAACTGCTTTTCGTTTATAAATTGTAATGCAGCTCAGGCTTTGCTGCCGCTTTGTTGCTCTGAACTTTGTAAGCTTTTGCTTCAGTACCTGAAATAGTGCGACATAGCATTTTGATTTTGAGCTTTATTTCATGCAAAACACAGTCATTTGCTCTTTACAAGCTCTTAATAAACCATGTTATGGTTGATCGTGTCTGCTCTTCAGTGTTGCCAGCTACATTGCAAATGCTAGTGTCACCGTCTAAAACTGTCATTGTAGATTTAGGTGTTGGCAGAATTATTTTTCTGTACATTTTATGTGGGTTTTGCTGAAATGTTTTTGATTTAAGAAGCTTTGTTTTTTGTACGAGTTGTTCACAAAGTAGTCATGAACCTACATGTCTGTTGTAAATCATTTGCTTTATGTTGCAGTGCTTTCATTTCATCTCAAAAAAAAGAAAACAAAAAATGTTTTCCTATTGTGGTTTAGAACTGGTCAGGAAATTTAACCTTTATTGGATATTTATTGTCTTGCTAATAACAATTGCATTTTTTGAAACTCAAAAATTTACAAGCATTAATAGGTTTCCCATATTAGCCACCCCTACTTTTTTACAATAGGAATTCAACCTGCACCATTATTTCTTGTCATCTAATATCATGCGACTCATTCCTACATTCCAGTTCTGCACGCTGCCATAGACGCTCTGACCTCCCATGCGCTGTTGTGGCCTGCCACAAAATACACTGCGCTGTGTTTGGCTTGATGGAGAGTTACCGTATCTGTGTGTAGAAAACCTCGGCTGTATGGGCTTAGCTTTGGTGGATGCTGCAAGCAAAGCTTTTTTGCTAATATGACTCAGCACAAAGTTGTACAGTATCCTTCAAACTCACAGCTCAGCCAGAGGAGAGCAAGGCGTCCTGTGAGTCGGAGAGGAAAGAAGATGCAAGTCATGTGATACTGCTACATGAAAAAACTGAAGAACTTGCCTTGGTTGAATCCCCTCTTCCATCCATGGAAGAGAAGTCTCTTACTGAAGCTTCAGTGAAACAAGCTGACCAAGAAACTGTTGAAAACTCCAAGCTTTTAGAGTCTACAGAAAGTCTACAAACTGAAGACGTATCAAGTCTCAAGACTGAAGAAAATGTGGACATAATCTTACCAAACAAATCAGAAGCCCTCACGAATGAAAGCAAAGAAAAAATAGAGATAGTTCAAGAAATGGTTAAGGATGACCACGATGATTGCGTTCATAAAGCTGAACCAAGTCAACAAACACAGCAACTAAAAACTATATTTGATATGTCAGTAGAGCAGTGCTCTGGATCAAAAACTTACTTTGAAACAACCTCAGAAAGCCAAGTAGAGGAGTTGTCCCAGAGCTATTATGAACTCAGTTTAAAAGCAGAGACAAAGTTAAGTGGAGAACATGAATGTAACGTGGAAAAACTTGAACAGGAAGAGGAACGAGGCAGGACAAATCCCAGTAAAATGTCATTAAAGCAGAGGAGTTTGTCCCTGAACATTACCAGTGAGTCTTCAGTGGAACCGAAGGCAAAGGCAGACAAATCAAGAACCTTTTCAGATAACTTGTGTACAATTGGCGGTAGCTTTGATGAATCAGAAGTTTCTCCCTCGACTCCACTTGTCAAGAGTTACACACCGGAGTTTGCCCCAACAGTCTCTGTTACTCCAACATCTACTACATCAAGTGAAGAGATCCCATCAAAACCAGAAGCACCTTCTGGTGAGCACATATCTAGTTTTGAACAATCAGAAAGCCTTTCTGAGATGTTGGACCTGGCAGGAGTCCTACCTCGGCCATCATTAGAGAGGAGAGAGGTTGACTACATAAGACGAAAGTCAGTCCCTGCCAATGTATACGCTCTTGCAGGGAGTTCGTTGGACAAGTTTGCCATGGCAGATCAAACAATGAAAGTGGTCGCAGAGGAACATCAGCTAGAAGAACTTGGCTACTGTGTGTTCAGTGAGTGTTCAGCACCAATGCCTTCTCCTGCTGATCTACCCAACACTGAGGACTGTTTGCACCAGTGTTTCCCCTCCTTGCTGTATGAAGTAGGAAGAGATCTTGGAGTCTTGGAAGAGAAAGGTATTCAGCAGCAAAGAGATCAAAAGGAAAGTGCCACAAAGATTTCTCAAAAAACAGTTTCAGACAAGAAAGATTCACCTGTAAAGACCAGCCTGATTCTTGAAAGAGCTGTGACAACTGGTATGAAACCAGATCGCTTACGAATCCCAATGACAGCTTCGAAAGACAGACTTACTGAATTTCGTCTTGAGACTGGCCTGCCTGGGGACATAAAAATCCAAGCAATCCCTGAGGTCGACATTGAAAAAGACCCTTCTAGAGAAGCTTCTCCCATCCCACCCGACAATTCATTTACCTTCACTCCAACAGAAACTGGAAGTAAAGTGCCTCTCACCCTTGTTACCCTGAAGTCCCCAACCAGCATATCCCCAACTAAAGTTCATTCAGAAACCCAAGTCTCTGGAGAAAGGGAAATGAAAAAAGACGTAACGGGTAAGACTTATGATTCTGAGGGCCTTGATAAGAGTTCAGGTTTAGACAAAGAGATGATTGGTCTTGATTTAAAAGGTCAAGAAGAAAAAGACATTAAACAAGACATGACCAACATAGGCAACCTTTCAACATCATCTCAGGCGTTACAATATAGCATGGAGGAAAAAGAAGATTGTAAGATTCGAGCACATGCAAAGTCTTCAAGATTAGAAGGAGTGGAAACACAAGAGACCTCAAACACTGATCAGACTTCAGGCACAGAAAAGCCCCTAGATGCAAAGTTCCATCCACAAGAACTGACTTTGACAAAAGACCTACCAAAATTACAACTATTTTCACCAATCATTATAATACCTCAGTCACAAGTAGAAGAAGTTGAGGAAGAGGATGATATTGAGATGGCCGAAGAACCTCAAGAGATAATGGAAGAACCAGGGAAGCCTCTGCACCTCCAGGCAGATGAACCAGATAAAAGTCTGACTAAAGAGCTAAAAAAAGACAAAGTGAGGCTGATGGTAGGCGATCAGATGCTGGACGATGATCCTTTGTCTGGAGCTGAAGAATGGAGTCATAGTGCCATAAACAGTGATGATGGGGAGCCTGCAACAGACAGTTCACACCTGTCTCCATGTTCTGACCATGATCTGCCACCTCAGACAGGAGATGGCGCTGAAGCTGAAGACATGGAGGTGGATAAAAAAGAAAAAGGCATAGATATGGACACGCTGAAAGCTGAAGATGTACTGGAAGACCAGACAAAGGGGAAGAAAGATGAAGAAGCAGATTCTAGCGAAGGAGATAAGGGAAAGGAAAAGAAAATGGTGGAAGAAAGGGATGCGGCTAAAGAGGAAGAACCAGTGATTGTTCTGGAGGCAACACGTCAGACTGCTAACGATGAAACCACTATAGATGTGTCCATTCTTGATACAGACAGTGGCTGGATGGACTCACAAGGTACTTACAACTCATAGACGTTTCAAAATGAATTGGTACCAGAAAGCTTAATAAATGTGTCTCAGTTTAAGCTAGTTCCTTGCTTGTATGGAGATTTGCTCCTCTCTTTTACCCTCTCAGCTACAGATGAGGATAAAAGTATCATGACTGAGCAGATCGAAGCCCTTCCTCTGACCAAGAGTTTTACCAGAACACCTGTGGTGGTGGACCGACCTGCGAAACGGGGTCCCTCCAAAGGACGGGGCCATCCTAGCACTGCTGATTGCAAAGTGTCACGCAAAATGCTGATCCACCGTCCACCAGCGGAGGAGAAGATGAAGAAAAAAGGTTCCTGTTCTGTATTAAGGTTTTCAAGCAGAAGTAAAATTGCAGTTGTTCTAAAAGCCGGTTTGTCTAGGTTTGGATGTTGGTATAACCCTGTCTCTCCCCCTTTGCTAGTCGGCGTGAGGAGGGCTGACCAGAGTAAGGTGTCAGCCCTCCAAAGTCGCTCTCCGTCTCGAAAAAGTGGAGCTAAAGTGGCGGCCAGGCACCCTAGGCCCGTTCCGCTTCATGGCTCTGTTAGACGCAAGGCCCCAGGTGAACACTTTTCACCAGGTATCTGCTCCTTGAATAGAGAGAGATTATGACCCAAAAACTCAATCCAGTTTCTCTGTAATATATTTTATGATTAAAGCGTAATGAATTTATTTAAATAGAATGTTTGGATTTAAACTTGTCGATCTCTCTTTATTTGTGGCTCATTGAGGAATCGAGCAAATGCATTGTAGCTGGCAAACATCATGTGCTGCTGATCCGTTTGACCAAAAAAAAGTCATTTTGATGGTGAAAAGTGGAGGACTCACTCATGCTTTGCTTCACATCATGTTCTATTCTGTTTAGTGTTGCTTTTGTTTGTTGACTTTTGGTATTTAAAATCTAAAGCACTGAACTTAGTGTTGCTGTAGTGTGATTCACCTCTTTGTCTTTCTAAAAACACAATGAAACGTGTATGCCAATTTTCTTTGCCCCTTTTATTTTGTTGCTGTCTATTCATTATGTGAGTGCACTTTTACATGTGCATGTGTGTCCTGCTAGCCATTGCGTCCTTGTGGTTAATATTTAACATGGCTGTTTGCCCTCCCAGGTGTGGATCACCACCCCCTCAGTGTGGCGCAGCAGTCCAGAGAGAGGCCTACTGTAAGTAATATAAACATAGACAATCAGCCACACCCTTAAAACACTTATTTTCTTTTTTTTTAAGCACAGGTATTACACATTGTTTTGATTTCTTAAGCAAGTAAGTAAGTAAACTTTATTTATATAGCACCTTTTACAGGTCAGAAACCACAAAGTGCTTTACAGAATAAAAGACATAAAACACAAGATAAAACAACATGCATATGACATAAGACAATATAAAACTAATTAAAAGCCAATCTAAACAAATGTGTCTTCAGCTGCTTTTTACAAGATTTAAGAGAATCAAGGCAGCGCAAAGTCAGAGGTAATGCACTCCACAGTCTGGGGACCACAGGGTTTCAGTTTTATCACAATTAAGTTGCAGAAAGTTGTCACTGAGCCACTGTTTGATATTGCTATTACAATTTATCAACTCGCGATGTTCAGAAGGTCTGAAGGAACAATATAGTTGAATATCATCAGCATATAAATGATAAGACACATCTGAAAACTGACATTATTCGACCGAGGGGGAAAACAAACAAAAGAAAGAGAATAGGTCTCAACACTGAGCCCTGAGGTATCCCACATAGCAGGCTCTTGGTTTCTGACATTATGTGGTTTGCAGAAACACTAATTGTTCTACCAGAAAGATAGGAGGTAAACCACTCCAGTGCCAAGCCTGATAGACCGACTACATCCCATAGCCTGTTAATCAAAATACTGTGTTCAACAGTATCAAAAGCAGATGTTAGATCTAGGAGAACCATCACCGTGGATTCTCCAGAGTCGGCTGACGTCAAAATATCACTGGAAACTTTAAGTAAAGCAGTCTCTGTGGAGTGGAGCTTTCGAAACCCAGACTGAAATTTGTCAAAAATCTCATGTTTTTCCATGTGAGCGATTAGCTGCTCAGCCACTACTTTTTCAAGAAGCTTTGAAAAAAATGGGATCTTGGAGATTGGCCTGTAATTTTCAAACTTTTTAGGATCCAGGTTTGCTTTTTTTAATAATGGCTCAACAACAGCATGCTTGAATGAGCTTGGAAACGCATCTGTTGAAAGAGAAGCATTGCAAATATTTACAATGCAGGGACCAATGACAGAAAAAAAACTTTTTTAACAACATCGTCGAAAGAATGTCATTTGTACCGGTAGAAATTTTTATTAACTAAATTCAAACTCACGTTTTTGAGGATAATATGACAAAGTACACAAAAAATCTATTAATTTAAGTGGGTTTAAAAAAAAAAGGTTTTAGGTACTCTTTGATTTGAATATGACAAAATTCACCTCATGTAAAAAACACAACCGTGTCATTGTTGTGAAATATTTGCACTAAAACCGCTCCAAATTTTTGGTTTTAAATTTTATTAACGATATAAGCTTATCAATAAGTGCAGTTGTCGTGGAAAAAAGGGATTCCCCAAACAACCAGGTGTAAGTTCATCAGATTTATTACAAACCTTTGGAGAACAGCCAGCAATCACAGAGCAATGCATTTATTCTGTAAATACACACTTATCAATGCCTTCACCTGTCTGAGGTTCTGACCCGTTCTGCCTTCCCGAACTGAAAAAGTTATTTTTGTAGAAAACATCCAGCACCCAGCCCCTCCCCGTCGAGCTGTTATCAGAACCCAGCTGCAGTCAAGCAACAAGGTGTCAGCTCCCAAGGACTCTCTGGAACCACGTCACAATAATCATATCAATCAAACCTTGAGGATAATAAAAATTATCTCTTGCTGTCCCTTTACGGATCGGTCGTATGAAGACTGGTTATTACACAGAGTAAGATTTGCGGAACATTTTAAACTCATTCACAAATAACGTTTTTTTTAAAGCTGTGCAAAAATACATTAATCAAGTAAAATTGTGGCGCATGGTAAGTGCAAAAAATACACATTCCCTTGACAGCAATACACAATTTTTTAACGGTAACTCATTAATATTAATGCAGCTTTACATATTTAAGGTGTTTTTTTCCTTATAGTTAGGGAACGGTGTGCTTCACCTAATTTTTATTTACATTTACTATCAATAGGTATAAGTAATTAGCTGTTCCATTTTTATTTGAGTGCCATATTAGATAAGAGCTTAATTTTGCAACATTTAAAAAGAAATGTCCTTTTTAAACTTAGTATTAACAAATGATGCCAGCATGTTGCTCGCAGCCTTGATTTAGAGCCAGTTTGTGTTTGAATTTTCTGTGATTTGCTGTTTTTCTTGCTGATTTTAGGTTGATTTGACACAGAAAGTATTTTATTTTCTACTGGTTAACAAAATCAGTCAGTGTAACCTAAGCATGTCATGAACGTAAAAGAACAAGGTCAGATGCTGCGGGGTTTCCGCTCTAGAACTGCGATTATATTTCAAATAATCCAGAAGGCTTCATCAGTCAAGGAAACACAACACAAAACTGATTCTTCCCCCAAACAGCTTACTCCAAAGGGGAACAAACCAGTTATGTTGGTGCTAAGATGGTGTCTTTGGCACGCCCCCTCTTCCGGTGCCGGCCCTCTCCCTCGTCGACAGTCATGTCAAACTTACGGTGGCTCTAAGGTGTAAATGAACAACATGTGAAAAAACGGAATTACATTTGAAAAAAAAAAAAAAAATCACAACATATGAAAAAACAGAATCACATTAGAAAAAACAGAATTAAATTAATTACATTAATTAATTATTAAGAATTACATTAAATTAATTACATTAATTGCAATTAATGAATTACATTAAGCCAAAAAAGTGTTGAACATCCAGAGGACCTGACAACTTTTTTAGAATATACAGTGCACACATATCTCTGTTGTGTATGTACTGTATATTGTTCTGTTGTTCGGTTTTATGCTGTTAATGAAGTAAAAAAAAAAAAAAAACTTCCTGTTTGGCTTAATGTGATTCTGTTTATTTCAAATGTGATTCTGTTTTTTCAAATGTTGTTCATTTACACATTAGGGCCACCATACAAACTGGTTCAAAACCAACAAAGTCCATGCTCAATAATCCAGTTATACAATCCAACAATTTTCGGAGGAGGGGGCGTGCCAAAGAGACCAAAGAGATTTAGCGCAAAATACTTTTTCTTTCAGGAACGAGGCGGCTTTTAGTGCCTGTTTTTTTAACACTTCCCAAACACACCCCTTCACTCTTGCATGATCATTTAGAGACCTCACATTTGCGTCTGTGTCTTTTGTTGTGTCTGCTATGATTTTGTCTTGCATGCCTGCCTTGTGTCTTTGTGTCAGTCGCGGCAGAGGAAACATGTGAGTATGAACTTTGTGAGAATTCATCAAAGTGTTGCTTTCATCAGGTTGTGTTTATCCGTCAAACATTTCCTTTCCTTTTGTTCATTTTTCCACCTCTTGGTCACCTCTTCCATTTGTCCCGCACGCCTTCCGCCTGTCTTTGTCTCCATCCATCACTCAGAGCCCCACAAGGGCCGTTCTGTTAAAGATGGCAGTGCAGCGCAGTGGGGAGTCCCCCCGCCCCGGGTCTGCCTGCGTACTTAAACGGAGCCCCCTTGTGGAGGCGGAGCTTTGCGAGGCCCGCTCCTCCTCTGCATGTTCCTACCCAGCCCCTTTGCCAAACAAATTGGCAGGGAAGGTAAAGCAAAGAGGAAATAAAACGTTGATCTGTAGCCAACAGTCCCGTTGTTGACTGGTTCTGTGCTGTTTGTCGATCAGGAGCGAGCGTACCGCAGCCCCGAGAAGAGGTCATCCCTCCCCAGGCCAGCCAAGTCTCTGACTCGCCACATCCCTGCTGCTGAACAAGAAGACAACAGCACCCCCTGCAGGCCAACCTGTAAGATTACACTCGTTTGTCTTCCTTTAAATTTATCTAGTTGGAACAAAAGACCTTGTTAAGTAAACAATGACTTCATCTCTATAAACAAGACTGTAAAAATACTGTAGTTTAGTTAAAAAAAAAATATATTAATGACACATGGAAGTTGTTGTTTTATTTATACTGCAATGCATTCTGGGTAAATGATGTAGAAAAGTTGCTCGGTGCGAACTCCAGTCAGCTTGAATGTTAATTTTGGACGTTATCTGACGTTCAGACCTTTAATTTGAACCGGAGCACGTCGACAGAGACGAGAGTGAAGACATGGCTCAGCTTTCACGTTAGCTCCGGAGCTAACGTGAGCATTCCTGCCATTACGTGCGCCACGCATGCAAAGCAGTCATGGGTGGGGGGGTCTGGGATACGCCTCACGGCAACTTCCTTTAAAAATCTACTCAAAACTGTACATTTACTAGTTCTTCGGAAATCATTTTATTAAATTCCTAGGATTAAACATACTGTAAAACATAAATTCAGTGTATTATATTTTAATTGAGAGGTGGAACAATGAACACTAACTGGCCTTGAAGCTGAACTTTATCTGACCTCAAACTTGAAAGATGCATTACCCTTATGTTTTTATTTTTTTTACACACTGAGCACCATGGATCTGTTTTGACTGCATCATACTATATATTTATCAGAAAGTATCATCTGCACCATGTAATCATATTAACTACCCTGAGAAGCCTACCAGGTAGGAGAAATACAACAAGAACTCATACAAATAAAAAATACAAGCTTCAGTACAAACACCACATCTGGTCTACAAATCATGAGTCCACCATTTGTCCAGTAATGACACCACAGCACTTAAAGATTAGATTATTTACGACACACACACATTCCCCCAAGCAATATTTAATAAGTAAATACTTTCAACCTAATAAGTTATGGATGATGGCTGAATTAATGAATAAACATACGTACTAGAACTTTAATAACAAAATGTTTATTCTATTTTTTTTTTTTTCAAGATCGTTTTGCATCACTGTAACTTTGCGGCAGTTTATACTATCAGAAAAATACCAATGTTTTTTTTTTAAATCCTACTTCTAACCTACAAAGCCCTCAGCAACCTAGCTGCATCTTCTATTACAGATCTTATTGTTCCATATTTTCCTAACAGAGCACTTTGCTCTCAGACTGCAGGTTTACTTGTGGTTTCTAGAGTTTTCAAAAGCAGAATGAGAGAAAGATCTTTCAGTTATCAGGCTCCTCTCTTGTGGAACCAACTTCCAGTTTCTGTCCATGAGGCTGACACATTGTCCAGTTTGAAGACTGGGCTTAAGACTTTCCTTTTTGATAAATCCTATAGTTAGGGTTGACTTGCTATGCTGCTATAGGCTTAGACTACTGGAGGACAAACTGACCTCATTTCATTAAATTAATTGTTAAAATTGAATAGTTTTCATTTGATATTATTTCTATCTTAACGTGTGATTCTTGACCTGCCATTGTGTATCTGTTACTACCAAACCCAGCCGGTCGAAGCAAATGGCTGCTTGTCCTGAGCCTGGTTCTGCTAAAGGTTTCTTCCTCATGAGGAAGTTTTTCCTTTCCACTGTCGCCTTCATGCTCAAGAGGAGAGTTCTTCGATGGAGTTAAACTCAAAGCAGTCTGCTCCTCAGATAAATAATGTTAAATTATTAATTTTATATATGAATGTTTCTGTTCAGTGCCCTGAGATGACTTTTGTTGTGACTTGGTGCTATAGAAATAAACTGAACTGAATTTAATAGAAAGCTGTGAAGTAGAGCTTTGCAACAATTTAGGTTTATTACAGTAAGCTCACCCTGCTGTTGCAGGAAACCAGTGAAACCACCACTCTGTGTCCCTCCTCCCACACAGACATGGCATGAACAGGTGAACCCAGCCAGCTCTCGTCAAATTCAAGGATTCAAGGTTCTTTATTTGTCATGCGTATGAAATTATGTACACAGGGTCCCAGTTACATCCAATAAAAGTATAAAATGCAAAAGAAAAACAGTAATAAGATCTAAGATATGAACTAAGAAAAACGTTAATAAAAATCCACTAAGCACTAGTAGCATAAAAACAATACGCCAAACAGCAGCACGAACATGAGTCTGTGTGAGCAGATGAGCATGAATGAACACATTAACATGAAACAGATCAGCAGCAACATGAAACAGATCAGCAGCAACTTGATGTGATTTTTCACAGTGATAATTCTGGTTAGATATTCATGAGTCTAACAGCCTCAGGGTAGAAGCTGTTCCTCAGTCTAGTGGTTCTACACTTAATGCTCCTTAACCTCCTTCCTGAGGGGAGCAGGACAAAAAGTGTGTGTGCTGGGTGAGTGGGGTCCTTCATGATGCAGGTGTCCCTCTTCCTGCATCTGGAGGTGTAGATGTCTGTGATGGTGGGGAGGCTGACTCCAACTCCAAATGTGGGACATTTAGGTGTTCCGTCCCTCCTTATGTGGGAAGCTGGACAAGGGGGCAAAATCTAGGACTGTACCGCCTGAACTGGGACAGTTGGCAGGAATATGACGTTAGCTCTGGAGCTAATAAATCAAACATCACGAGTTGATCACGTTTGATTGTTTTGACTTGTATATTGTGCATAAGGACTAATACAAAATATAAATTTATTGTCACGTTATAACTTTTTATAACTCCTTGTGTTTTAGTCTCCACTACAACCGATGCACATCATCGCCCCAGAATGTGTTGCACTGGTAAAATAATGGTGACGTCCATAGCTGAAAAATCTAATAGACATTTATAATTTTTAAAGTAATTATGGATTTTCACGTGTACAACTTTTAGTAGAATAGAGAAATGACAACACTGGGGCGGCTGTGGCTGAGTGGTTAGAGCGGTCGTCCTCCAATGGGAGAGTTGGGGGTTCGATTCCGCCAGCAGTCACATGTTAAGTGTCCCTGGGCAAAACACTGAATCCCTCATTGCCTCTGATGTGTGTCCCATCAGTGTATAACTGTGATAAAGCACTGATTAGTCTTTGTATAGATCTAGTAGAGTGCTGTATGAATGGGTAAATGAGGACACAGATTGTAGTGTAAAGATCTTTGAGTATCTTGATTAGACAGAAAGGTGCAATACAAGTACAGTTCATTTACATATTAAGGCCAGTATGTGCAAGTTGTTTCTGTACAACACTTAATTTAAATCTTCCACCTTCCTGCTCTATGTTTCCCCTCGTTCCCCTTCAACTTTCTTGTTCTTTTCCTTCCCGCCCTTCAAAGCGATCCGGACCGACTCCAGAGGGGACAGCAGGTCTGGAAGGGCCCCTAGTATGGCAGGTAGACCACCTAGTAGCTCCCCTTAGACCCATCCCTCCCTCCCCATGACTATTATTAACAGCTGCTGCTTTAACTTCCATCATTTTACCTTGACCGCCTGTTGTTTAGACAAGTGCCTGGTTTCAGAGTCAGTCATTCTCCATAAAACTATTTTCAGACTGATCTTTGGCTCAGTCGGACCTGCAGGTAATTTATCAGAAGGACACGAGGAGTCCAAAAAAACAGGCGTGTTTGTCATTCAGCACCCCGTGGCTTAAAATCCCTCTGGTTCTTCCTCTGGTAACCCCGGCAACAAGCAGCTAGAGGTTGAATAAATGTAGATTTCACACTCACGGTCAAACATTGTTATTTGATCTGGGTTTGTTTGTTTTCCACAACCTGAGCACACGCTGTGCCAGCTGTATTTACAGTATGTTTTCATTGGTGTTTCACCTTCATCATCATCATCATCAGAACTATATGAAGGAGTCCACATTTTATGTTCCGTGTTCGTCTACGTGTTCACAGTTCATAACCCTTTGTTCTCACTGTCTGTTTATCTTCGAAGGCACAGACTCGGCCCGGTCCCGGTCAGTTCGTAGTGGCGCCTCCACCCCAGGCTCAGCCGTGACACCCGGCACGCCCCCTAGCTACTCGTGCCGCACCCCGGGCTCGCGCACTCCAGGCAGCCACACGCCCAAGTCCTTCAGCGTCCTCCAGGAGAAGAAGGTGGCGGTGATCCGAACACCGCCCAAGTCGCCATCCTCTGTCCAGCGGCAGCTGAAGGTCATCAACCAGCCTCTGCCCGACCTGAAGAATGTAAAGTCCAAGGTCGGGTCCACCTCCAACCTCAAACACCAGCCGAAAGGAGGACAGGTAACAGCTAAAGGATGATTTAGGTGTTCTGATTTGTTGTAGTAACCAGCAGTCAGCCATAACTTTAAACCCACAGCTAATATTGTGCAGATGTGCGTGGCTCAGAGCGTGGACAACACTTTTGTGTTGGACATTGGTGTCATGTAATTGTAGATTTTAACTGGAATTGTTAAAATTCCGAGCTGCAAAGCCGTAAAAATGCTGCCTGCAGTCATTCCCAAAAGCACCAGCCGAGTCTGCAGCCGTGTGCGCTTACACAACTGAAGGTGGCGTTGCAGAGCTAGTGGGTGAAAGCAGTGTCATTGGTTAGACTAAACAGCTGCCTCAACACGTCTTACCTACTCACCAATTTGGCTCTGTGACTACCTCCCACGCTGGCTCAGTAGTGTAACAGCTCTGAGCCATATTTAACTCATCCATAAATGATTGGGTAGAGGCAGGGCGGCCGACTCGGTACCCGAAAGTTCCAGGTTCGACCCCCAGTCATTGCACATCACGTGGTGTCTCTGAGCAGCACACCCTATCCCCAAATGCTCCCCGGCGCTTTCAATAGCTGCCCACTGCTCCACCTGGTGGTGGATGAGTTAAATGCAGAGACTAATGTCACCAATGGTGACAATACATAACACATTATTATTAAATCCCACCAAGGCAGGAAAAAGGCATCTCAGGCACAGCTGGAAAGTGTCTTGTGAAAATTAGGGCATTCAGTTTCAAGAACAGAATAATTTCAGCTTGCAGGGATTTCCAAAGTGTAAATGATTTATTAGAGAAGAGAAGAATGTCCACTTTTACATATTTTATTGGTTATGTACTAGTGAACTTTTAGAAGGGATTCTCCAGAAATTAAAGGCTACACTCTGTCTTGCCACACAGGGGCAGTAAATGATAATGTTTTTTTAATAAAATCTTGTTTTATGTGGTTCCCAACACTGGTCCCTGAGGAACACCATCCTGCATGTTTTAGTTGTTTCCCTGCTCCAACACACCAGATTCAGTGAATTAATTACTACATCAATTTCTGGAGAAGCCTCTTAAACACCCATTTATTCAAATCAGGTGAGTCAAAAACAGGGAAACAACTAAAACATGCAGAGTGGTGTTCCTCAAGGATCTGTGTTGGGAACCACTGATTTAGACGAATCTATATTCATATCTGTTCAATTTGGCTTTTTAACTTGAATACTTAACAATAATATATACAGATGCATGTTTTGTATAAGCTTTTTTTTTTTTTTTTTTAAATAGAAACAAATAAAATTGACACTTCTTTCTCATTATGTTCACTCAGTCACTTTGTGAAGCCTCCTCTGTGCTCTTGCTGTTTGCCGCTGTGTGTTTTCTGCTTCCTCTGCTCTGTCTGCTGCCATTTCCGTCTGTCTGAATGAAGAATCGCCTCCCCCCTTGTCCCCTCAGTCTCTCCTTCTTTCTCCTCTCTACCTCTTACCTCTTTTCCGATACTTCCCCATCACAGACGGAGGATCAGCTGTACCACAGACGTGTTTCTAAATATAACGGGATGTAAAAAGCAGCCATCCTTCAAAGATTATCCCTCAAATTTCCTTTCTGGCTCCAAAGAATCTTCCTTGAGTAGCTACCTTCGTCATCTGTGCTCCATCTTTCAGTGTTTATATTATAACCAGCTCACTGGGAGAACATAAAAAGACCTTGCTTATTCTCCTCAACATTCTTTAGCATTTACTGGCAAAACAGCTGCTTTTTAGTGTTTTCCTCAAAGCAGGCTTTTATTGCTGAGATTATAAAAACAATAGTCGGTCAGGCTGTTAGGGATGAGATTTTTATATTAATTTTCCTCATATAAGATTGCGTCTGCCTTACATAAAAATAAAATATGAGAATATTCTCCGTCTTATCGGGGTCTTAATGGATGTGTCTGACTAGTGTCATGTGATTTCCTAATCATATTTACAGTGGACTTAATGTTCTCACTGTCCTGCAGAGAAGCAACTCTTTATCTGATTTGGTGATTTATGAGAGAAGACGGTGAACAATTTTCATTTTCCCAGTTCTTCTCTCAGGGGACTCGTCTTTTACCTTTTTATCTTTTAAAATGTGAAGTTTTACCAACAAAAGTGGTGTTTTTCAACCCATTCTGTAACTTGGGCCTTGTCTACACTACTCTGGATATGTTGTTTCTATAAAAATAAATAATTCATCCATCTATTATCTTTACTCGCTTCTTCCTTTTTGGGTCGCTGGTGCCCATGTCTGGCTATCACTGTGTGAGAGACGGGATACACCCTGGACAGGTCTCCAGTCCATCACAGGGACACATAGACAAACAACCATTCACTCTCTCACTCACACCTAGGGGCAATTTAGAGTTACCAATCAGCCTAACATGCATGTTTTTGGTCTGTGGGAGGAAACCCACAAATGCACAGAGAGAACATGCAAACTCCACCCAGAATGGGCCCCGGTTGGGATTTGAACCGGCAACCTTCTCACTGAGAGGCAGCTGCTCTACCAACTGCGCCATTGTGCCACCTAATACAAGACAAAAACAACTGGACTTTATTTGTAACAGAAGACATTTTGCGTCGCATCCTAGAAGCTTTCTCAATTCAAAGAAACGAGTGTGTGGTTCAGGTTATAAAGCTGAGATAAGATGCACACATACATATGCAGATTGACCTATCACACCTCACAGTAAGGGCTTGTTAAGGTCTTTGTTAATCTAATTCATAGATGAGGCACCCCACATTATTTATTAAAAATAAATAAATACCCACTCCACACCCCTAGGCAGTGAGAATGTCCATATTAACCGCAGATTAAAAACTATTCTTAGTTTTCAAGAAAGTTCAATCTGGTCCTCTGGACATTCAAAAAAACAAAAAACAAAACTAAGCAAAAAAAAAAAAATAATGTAGAAACGTTTCGTCTCTCATCCAAGAGACTTCCTCAGTCTGAGCTGCTGTTTTCAGCTCAGTCTCTTAAATAACACCTTCTCAGAGTGGATCAGCCAGTTTTGCTGCTGACAACCAAAACCAACTGATCACATGCTCAAGAAGGACCATCAGCCTAACAAAGGATCATTAGCACACTGATGGCTGTTTACTAGGCCATCTTTGTGAAAAGAAACCGTCCATCATTAAACAGGGGTGGAGGCCTCCGGGTTCAATTGTCCCCCTCTTACAATGCTGTGATTGCTGGTATCACTCAACCCCCTTTGAATAGTAAACAGCCATCAGTGTGCTAATGATCCATTGTTAGGCTGATGGTCCTTCTTGA